AGGCTGGAGTGCAGTGGCACTATCGTAGCTCTCAGCATCCTGAAACTCCTGGGCTCAAGCAATCCTCCTGCCTCAAACTCCCGAGTAGCTGGGACTGCAGGTCTGTATCATCATGCCTCAACCTCTGAAAGTGCTGGGAATACAGGCGTGAGCCACCGCTCAGCCTCTCCTGTACTTTAATCTCCATTGTGTTCAGTGCTCTCCTGGACTCTTCCCATTCTCTCCCAAACCTTCCAACCATAACCTCTAAAAAAATCAATAAACAAGACAAACGCCACTGTTGAAGGTGTAAATGTCCAAGGGGTTCACCTTGCCTGCTGCCTAGACAGAGCCGATTCATCAAGACAGGGGAATTGCAATAGACAAAGAGTAATTCACACAGAGCCAGCTGTGCGGGAGCCCAGAGTTTTATTATTACTCAAATCAGTCTCCCTGAGCATTCGGGTAGCAGAATTTTTAAAGACAACATAGTAGGTGTGGGAAAGCCAGTGAGCCGGGAGTGCTGATTGGTCAGAGATGAAATCATAGGGAGTCAAAGCTGTCCTCCTGCACCGAATCAGTTCCTAGGTCGGGGCGGGGGGGGCCACAAGATCAGATGAGCCATTTTATCAATCTAGGTAGTGCCAGCTGATTCATCATGTGCAGGGTCTGCAAAATATCTCAAGCACTGATCTTAGGAGCAGTTTAGAGACAGTCAGAATCTTGTAACCTCCAGCTGCATGACTCCTAAGCCATAAGTTCTAATCTTATGGCTAATGTTAGTCCTACAAATGCAATCTACTCTGTAGGCAAGAAGGAGGTCTGCTTTGGGAAAGGGCTGTTATCATGTTTGTTCTAAACTATAAACTAAGTTTTTCCCAAAGTTAGTTGGGCCTCTGCCCAAGAATGAAAAGGACAGCTTGGAGATTAGAAGCAAGATGGAGTCGATTAAATTAGATCTCTTTTGCTGTCTCGGTCATAATTTTGCAAAGGCGGTTTCAAAGGTGTCTTTTCTTTTTGAGACAGGGTCTTACTGTCATCTAGGCTGGAGTGCAGTAGCATGATCATGGCTTACTGCAGTCTTAGCCTCTCAGGGATCCTCTCACCTCACCCTCCCAAATAGCTGAGACCACAGAAGCTCACCACCATGTCCAGCTAATTTTTTATTTTTTGTAGAGATGGTGTTGGGGGGAGGGTGGGAGGGTCTTACCATGTGACCTAGGCTGGTCTTAAACTCCTGAGCTCAAGTGATCTTCTTGGCTCAACTTCTGAAAGTGCTAGGATTATAGATGTGAACCACCACGCCCAGCCTGTTGAAGATTTCTTTTACTCTCTGGTTTTGACTGGCACCTGGCTTTCCCCAGAAAGACCTCACTTCCCCTGTAGCCCTCTCTAGTGGATGGTATTGATTCTTCTCTGCCCCCACATTCTGTGGGGCTTACATGCTTTCACCAATGCAATGCCTCTTGTAGACCACAATTCCACCAGTCTTATGTAAAAACACGCCTTTTGAAGCTCAGTATATATGTCACCCTGTACTACTATTCTTTGCTATAATTTTCTAACTCTTCTTATCACTCTTCTCCATAATCTTTAATTTGGCACCTGGTTCACAGGCCTCTTTTCCACTCTACTCCATTCCCTAACATATCCATCTATTGAGATACCTATTAGACATTCATGAATATAAAATTGTTGCATGTATGTGTGCTTCCGTTTGACCATTCCAGATCTACTCTCTACTCTTATCTCTGTGTCCCAAATGGTGACCTTTATGGACTGCATCAATGTCCTTTGCTTCTAACCTCCAACTGAGTTTGTTTAATGGGAGTTTTTAGCAGGAGATCAAAGAAAGTGAGAAGGGTGAGATTTCTTCCCCCAGCTCTTTCTCTACCAGGTCATATAGATTAGCAGGGTCCCTCCATCAAAGGCCACTATTCCTGTTGGAAGGCTCACCTAACAAAGGTTGAGCATTTCTAATGTGAAAATCCAAAATCCAAAGTGTTTCAAAATCTGAAACATTTTAAGCACTGACACAATGCTAGAAGTGGAAAATTCCGCACCTGACCTCATATGATGATGGGTTGCAGTAAAAACTTTGTTTTGTGCACAAAAAAATAATTTAAAACAGTATATAAAATTACCTTCAGGTTGTGTGTATATGGTGTATCTGAAACACAAATGAAGTTTGCGTTTGGACTTGGGTCCTACCCCCAAGATGTCTTATGTATATGCAAATATTCCAAAATCCTAAAAAATCTGAAACCTGAAACACTTCTGGTCCCAATCATCTCAGACAAGAAATAATCAGTATAGCTACTCTCTAGGTCTGGTAAGTGCTCCCTCCCTCTGCCCCTTTAGACCCAGGAGTGGAACAGTTCCCATCTGTTGATAGCCCCAGGGAATGTTACCATTCCTGTTGGTTTTCCTTGATCCTGCCCACACCTTTTTATATATTGCCTTTGTTAAATTTTCTCCAGGTATCTTGTTTGAATGTGTCCTTTGTTTCCTGCTAGGAAAGGTCAAGGCTGGAGATTCAGATCTGGGAATCAACAGCCCAGAACTGAATTTAAAGCCATGAAAACCTAAATGACATAACCTAGGGACTGAGTG